TTGTGTTCAGGGACATTAACCATTCATCTCTCTTCCTGAACCAGACTGAAAGATATTTAATTCATTACATTAAAGCCCTCTCATGACTCATCAATTATTTACAATTACTATTCTTTAATTCATCATAATACTAAAAGAGACACAGAGGTGAAAATATTGTCATGAATACACACAGCACAGCTCTCTGCTGAGTCATATTCTGGAAAGAACACACAGAATTTACTTCCGATATAATCAGGAATTATAACTTAATTGCCAGCTTTTGAAAGTAATAGAACAAGTACAAGAGTGACGGCTGGTAAGATGGAAGCAGTACAACCTCAGTATAATACAGTACAACCTGTGTCTCTCCTCCCACAAAACACACAGCACACATGAACACTCCATCTCCATTCCCTTCCCAGCTTTATTTTTCTCCACAGGCTCTTACTATTACAATTTATCTGTGTGTACATACAAATGTGCATTTACAAATGACATATTTATGTTTTAACTGTCAAAATCCACACTAGAGTGCAAAATTCCTGAGGAAGACACTTTGTCTCTTCCTACATATGTAAAGCCCAGAACCTAGAACATTATAGTCACTTCACAACTGTTTACTGAACGAATAAGACTATTACAAGCTGCGTAGTTTTAACATAAAAATAATGCATTACAAATAATATTCCACTAATATTAGTTTTCAAATCAGATATCCCATCTAATACTCCCCCTAATTTATCCATTTGAAAGTATATTTAAACTTCCTGAGCTGTAGCTAAGTAGCAGAGCTTTGCCCAGCATATGTAAGGCCCTGAGTCCAATCCCCAGCACTGCAAAAATATACACTACCACCAGCAGCATTACTACTACTAATTAAACTTAATAAGCTTAATTTATTATTATTAAGTATAGCATACTTAATTCATATGGTACAAATTTAATATAAATTTATATGTGCACAAGAAATGCCTTTGTTAATATTGTATTACATTCACATAAAACTAGAGAAAGAAATAAAGAGATACAATCCAGAGACAAAATCTAGAAGAGAATGTGTGTGTGTGTGTGTGTGTGTGTGTGTGCGTGTATTATTCTTAAAATAAAATTTGGTAATCATATTTCAAGCTTCCAGAATGAAAGTCATTTTAAAGCATAGTTAAAACTTATGCAGCATCTGAAAAATCCCTTACCAACTACCAGAATCTGTTTCTCCTCAACTTCTTCTATCTCACTAACTGAAGAGGTTCAGTAAGAACCAAGAATCACTCTACCTCACCTAAGTGTGGATGCTACTGCAGTTATATTTTTACTACTTTCATTGTTGTTTAGAAGTTTAAAGACAGATGTCTTCCTAGAAAAATCTCAAGAAACTAAAAAATTGATGAAATATAGAGCATGACAGAGTCCAGTCTACATATAATATGGGAAGACAGTACAGGGGAAAGTATCAAGTTTCCCTTTATACTTCTCATTCTTCAATTTTATCTACTTAATTGAATGGTCCACTGTAGGCTTTTCATTCTAAGAGTCATATTCCTCATGAGAACAGAGAAGTAATCTCATATACATACACATGTAGATATGAAGATGAAGTTAAAGATAAATCTAATGGTATCTAGAATTACAAAGCCCATCACTGAATTTTCAATAGCTACAATTACAGATTTTATATATATATTACACATACACACATATATATATGTATATATACATATATATATATGTATACATGTACATACATGTATATATATATTTTTTTTCAAAAGTGTTGGTGAACCAAGGCAGGGCAGATTGATAAATCCATCTTGGAACACAGCACTGATGATCAGAATATTTCTAAACTTCTCGGACGTAAATGTCATTGCTGGTCATCTCCATCTATTTCTTAGAACAAAGCTGATCTGATTTTGGTTGCTTAATTTTAATGAAAGTGTATCATTAATAGGAATAACCAGATAAAATTACAACAATGAGCTGTGAAGTAAAAGAGGATTTTAAATATTTTCCTAGAACTTCTCCAGCTTTCAAATCCCTGTTTGAAAATCAAATTATTTTTGCTTTCTTTTAAATGAACCCAAAGTATTTTTAGATCATTATTATGCATTTATCCCCAAACAGAGTGATATCAATTCAAGAAATGCTACCTACAGGCTGAGCTATCCTCTGCCTCCCCCAGCTCCCTATGGCACAGGCAATGATTCAATGTGAAAACAAAGCAAAATTTTAAAACATCCACATTCCTTAAACGAAGCATGCCCAGAAATATGTCCACCATCCTTTCTTATTGAAGAGAAGATCCAGCAACTTTAACTGAACATGGTCAGAAACATACACCTTAAACTGAGCATGTTCAGGGATGTGCCTGCCCCTACCTGGGCGCGTGTGTGTGTGTGTGTGTGTGTGTGTGTGTGTGTGTGTGTGTAGGCTCCCCAGTAAAATCACCAGGCTTTCCTTTTTTGGGAGAACAACAATTTGCAAATAACCCCAATGGTCTCCTTATTTGTTGCAAAGAATAAAACTTTTTCCACTCTTTAAATAAAAAGTCTTTGTAATTACTGTAATATGTTTTGAAATACTAAAGTGCTTCATAAATACAGATGTAAAGAATGATTTCATCATTATGTGTCAATAATCACTCTGTCCAACTATGTAATCAAGACAAATTTGACTCTTCTTTCTTAAGCAATGTCCCCAAGGCTACAGTTTGCCTATTTCTGATTTGCTTTCTCCTCCAAGTCATGACCTGACATCCATTTTCATCTAATTTCACCCATGTGGACATGCTATAAAGAGKGACACATATATTCTTATTGTCAGCTCTACCTTGATAGAGTCTCAATATGTTTAGCTAATATCGGCTGAGATTAAATCCATGTAAAAATCATTAGCATTAAATCAAGCCTGATGTTTGGTGTGGATGGACAGGCCTACACAGGTATGTATAGGAGACTGGGCTCAGAACAATATGAACACACCTTTCTAATTTCTCAGTTTTTTCCTGCAGTAATATAAAGGGCTTTCTTTAATCTAGGGTAGGCTCTCTTCCCACAAAGTCTAAGCTCTACCTTCCTTCATGCCCAGGATCCCTCAAAGATTTCCCTACTATATGGCTAGATGCTATCTCTTCAGTCTAAATAATGATGCCAGTAACAATGACAACCAATAAATTAGTTGATTCATGCACATTTTCTCATTTAATGTAAAAACAATCCCGTGAAAGAGGAGATAACATTTAAACTGCGTCTTACATAGGGGGAAAGTCACCTGTGTGAGTCACACAGCCAGCAGATCCATGCCGTAACCACAGGTCCCTGTAGTGCTACAGGAATTCCAAGCATCACTTGGTTTCAATCTTCCACTGAACAGGGCAGGACTGAAGACCCAGAGACACTGACATGGCTCCGAAAACCCCCAACTCCATGAATACATCACAGCATTCAACACATCCACACTTCAGCCCTCCTTGGATTCCATAGCTACCTTCCCAGAGTCTCCACCTCACCATGCTCCTGTCTCCTCCTGACCCTTCTTCTGTCCCCATCCTAAGTATCAGTGTTCTGCAGAGTTCCATCCTCACCCTCTAGCCTGATGCAACTATTCCAGGCTTTCACAGACTTCTGAGAGCAGTGACAGATGGCTGTCATTCCCCTCATGTCCACTCTACTCTTTCCATTTCAGCTAACAATAATGGATGCCCATTCCTTCAACTATCCCACCACATTACTGATTTATATTCAACTCATGCTTTTTCTGAGTCTAAGACTCCAGGTATCCCAAATTCTTATTTCATGTCTCCCAGACCCTCAGTACTCACCTCAAATTAACTACTTTTTTTGTACTGGGGATTGAAAACAGGGGTGCTTAAACACAGATTCAGATCTCCAGTCTATTTTAACTTTTGAGACAGGGTCTTACTAAGTTGCACAAGGCTTCACTAAGTTGCTTAGGTTGGCCTTGAACTTGTGATCCTCCTGTCTCAGCCTCCCAAGCCACAGGGATTACTTGCATGTGCCACCATGCCGGCTTCTCTATATCCCCATGTTTTCATAAAGCATTTTAGCACCTTTGCCATCTTCTTCCTAACTCACTAAATGCAGCAATTTTAGTTGAGGGAATTTTCCCAGGAGCTGCATTTCACTCTTCACCATAATCCAGGTCTGCCTGGTGAGAGGTAAGACCCAGGACCAGGCCTCAGAGTGATTTTCCTGAGCTAGTTAAATGATTATTTTTAAACATTCCCTGTATTTTCTTATTAATGTACAATAAATATTAAACAAGATACTCAAGTATCCATGTTAGTATGAGAAATACCCACTGAAAAATTTATAGACACACAATAAACCATCCAGATAAGGCCTTCTCTAGCTGTGACCTATTATTTATGTCTTCACCTTACTATATTYGTTGATTAACTTGTGAAGTGCAGCAGCAACCAAATAACCCTAAATATTCTTACAGCTTTATAGTATTTATGGATTTTTCCCAGTGAATGCAGACTATTTTACTCTTATCTCAATGTCAAAAAGTATTAATAGATGTATTTTATCACAAAATATGAAGCAAAGTTGACAATTTCATTATCTGTCAATAAGCTATGGATAACACAGGAAGATCCTGTGATTTTGTAAAATCTGAGAACTCTGACTCTGAAACTGAATTTGAGATTAAACCTCTTTGAGAATGAATCAAAACATATGAACAATAATGATATTTTAAGTAGTTGAATTTAATGTGTTTACCCCGACCAATCCACTCAGTTTGCTCAGTGCTTCTTAGTGTGTTTTAATTATACAAGAATGTCTAGCCCTTCTTCTGCTAATAAGAAAAGCATAAGAAAAAACTTGTAATAAAGCCAAGAAATGGATCACCTCAGTGGACAGGATACCCATGGTCCCTCTTGTGCTAAGCTAGCATACCAAGCAGACATGTCCTTAGTTAGGAAAATTCTTTCAATGCAAAGAAAAAGGCAGCAACTATAACAAAACTAGCACCATGTGCTGGGCTCAGGTACCAACCTCCGTTGCTCCTCGCCATGTTCTCCTGAAGGGACAGTGAGACATTCATCCATGTGTCCGTGCAGCAACCTGAGGACATCACCACCAATCAGATACCCTGGAATGATTAAAAGTCATTTGTGACTGGGGCTGGTAGCCAGACATTCCACCTGGTCCAAACTTCTACTTTCACAGAGAAACACAAGTCTAGTGAGGCCAAGGTCACAGAAGTGGACGGTGCTGGCTAACTTCTGAGTCCCACTTGGTAACATTCCCCACCAGGATACATGACCACATTACACACATGAATATGTTACCACGGCACATGTGAACCTACGTAAGTGGGAATAAACCAAATGAACGAAGGCATGGCCCTTGGAAATCCTGCCGCAGAACACCATGGTTTTGCAGCTCTAAGGCCTGAGCCTGGAAGATGAGGAATGTCAACGTGTGCCAACTGAGCAATACCCTGAGGCCAAAACATTAGAGGACACAACTCTTATAAACCTAGCAAATGAAACCACACTAATGAGCTAAAGTTGACAACAGCATAAATAATAAGCAAAGAGAAACCTTAATGTAAGCTTCACTTTTAAACAGCAGCTTAAACAAGATTCTCAATGTCCAGTATCTGCTTGAGAGACTGTTTGGACACAAAAGAACTCTAATGATCAACTCATTAAGCGATTCCACAAATGATCATCAACCCTGCGGCAAGGATGAGCCCTCTAGCAGAAGTGGAGTTCTTACCTTGGGCTGCTTCACTTCCTGAGCTGATGGGCGCCACGCTCCACAGGGTCTGCTGGAAGGCTGCGTCCACATGCAGGCTGCCATTGCCGTAAGACAAGTGCTGCAGCAAGAGGCAAGAGGGGCACAGCTGTCAGTCCCAGCGTGTCATGCTCTGTCAGCGCTAACTGGACACTGCAGGCTGGGAAACGTCCACAGACGGCATCTACTCAACCCCATCATTCAAAAATTCAAAGACTAGTAGGAGAAACAATAGTAATGGTTTCTATTTGACTTTAGGTATTTTTCAACTTTATGCTAAGAGGTATTAACTTAAACCAGTAATCAGAAACTGTACAAATAATAAATACACCAGGTAAATTTATTTATACAAAGAAACAATTTTTGTATTAAGGCTTGTTAATGGAAAAAATGGTGTAGAAGATGGGAAGTTTAAAAGTATAATTAAGTTTTCTCCATATCACACTGCAATAGTTCATCATTGTTGGTGAGATGGGTGAAATAGGCAGAACCAAATTGGGCATTTGTTTGTATCCTTTAGGAACTGTTATCTGCAATTTGATACATCAGCCATTAGATGGCAATATTTCTCAATCACGATCTGAAATTAGGATAATGAATTTCCTCCAAAACTCAGATGTTACAAATTTGAGATTTTCATTCATAATAATGACATTTAATATATTGAGACATAAGATATGAGTTACAAAATGTTAACTGAGAGAAACAAAATTATGAGTATAGCCAAATGCCTTGCTTATTTTACTACACTACCCAACTGCCTGTAGAATTTCAAAACTACATGAAACCACCACTTTTGACTTGGAGTCTTCTCAGCAACACCACCAGTACCCCTGCAATATTTCTGCAACACGTTCCCAACCCTGGTGACAGCCTAAGCATTTAGAGAATTTACTCACACCAGTGATTTCCCACGAACCTGACCATCCCAGAGAGATAAAGGTCAATCACAGACTGCAGGAGCCAACTGAAGTGTGCTCCACAGGCCTGCCAACACCCTAAAGGCCTCCTTGTTCTAAATATGGACATGCAGGTCCTCATCAAGAACATGTCCCTTGTTCTCTTTCTCCTAAAACCCAAGAAACTTCTGAGAGGGTGACTTGTCCACTTAGTTCATCAGCAGTTTTTCCAGCTGATAAGATTAAAAGCCTCCCAGGGGAGATGTCAGATTTAGCAGGCATGTGCTCTTAGCCCTGTCCTTAGCCTTCCTTGGCTGCCTTGCTTCTGCACAACCTCCCCATCACCTCAGGCTGTTCATTCTGACCCGCAGCCCAACTGGGACTCCCTCACTAACTCAGTTTCTTCTCCAATATGTTAAATCCTTTCACTGTTATGAATAAATCAAAGTCTATCTGCTTCCACAAGCAAGTAAAATATATTTTCCTTTACATCAATTATCACACAATGTAATTATCTGGTTTTCTCTGTAATCTGACAGAGATTCATAACCTAATCCTTAGCCATCTACAGTGTTAATTAATAAACCAGTACATGGAGACACCAATCCACCTTTTAAAATTACAACAGCATACATTTTTCTTGAAAACATATTCTAAGTAATTCCATAAATATTCCTATTTTAATGACTTAGTCAAAAAGCACACACACTATATAAATATGTATACTCACATATATACATTATAATATATAGAAGATGAAAATCTCTGGGATCTCATCTGAAAATAATTCAGAATACTAATGCTTACATTTTATTTTGGTGAGATAAAACTGCAAGAGTGGAAGCTCAGTCAATATGAAGAGTAGATAATTATTTGTTGAATCATCTTGGATTTGTCGAATGTACTGTGTACAAAACATCAAGCTAAATATCAATAGAATGCATCCTGTACCCCGAGAATGCTTGTACTCTTGTAGGTACATTCAGACAATGCTGTGCATTCAGACAATGCTGTGGGAACTTCAACCACAACACTGCAGGAACTGTAAGAGCTCTGGGGACACTGTGGAGAGAGTTGCTGTGCTGGGCCTGCAGGGATGGATGGCCTTCCACGGGTGGAGGGGGGCATCCTCGGGGTGGAGGGGGGCATCCTCGGGGTGGAAGCTCTGAGGGGACACAAGGAATCACTGGCCTGGGCTCCCGTTTTGGAAACAACATCTCTAGGTAAGTTTATCCATATGTTGGATTTAGACATGCATAACAATAATGTTCAAGTGCTAAGTGAAAATACTTAAAACATACCAAAATTCCTGTAAATCAGGGATTTTCATTTTTAATGTACTAGAAACCTTGACACTGGCAGAAGGGTAGGGCCCTGGTCTGTGAGAAGCTCTGCCAAGGCCCCCAGTGGCACAGAGGCACAGGAGCATGGGGTCCAGCAGAGACCCCTCCCTGCTTACAGCTCACACTGAGAGATGCAGCTATCAAAGGGCCTGTGCACAGAAGCTGTCACCATGCCAAGGACTTTCTGTTTAGGTGCTGAGGAGCTGCTGCACTGAGAAACAGTGAGGGTGGAGAAGCTGGAAGGTAATGTCTAAGGCACACCTGAGACAACATGAGAGGAAGATAAAACACAAGCATCAGTCCTCACACGCCCTTAGGGTCTACTACAGTCATATGAAGTGATCTAAATAATGTGCACTCTTTGAAAGAAAATATTCTCTGGGCATAGCAACTCTGGATGCTTCTATTTAATTTTGCTGCTTATATAGTGAAGGGAAATCTGAGTATGAACAGCATCAAGTCAGCCATGGTATTGAATATTCAAAATTCAGTAACAGTTTCAGTTACCAAAAGAAAGATGAGTTGTCTTTAAAGCAAAAATAGATGTGAGTAGAAAGTAAAAGCAGCCTTTCGCTGAAAAATACAACTACCATAGAATTTACACAATAATCTGGCAGTACAATCCACACATCAGGATGTGGGCACTCATCTCACCTTTAACCTAAAATTGAGTGATTTTCAAGCTTTAAAATGCACACCCATCATCTGAGGATACTGTCCACAAACACAGGCTCAGATTCAGTGGGAGTAGGATGAGGTCAATCAAGACCACAGATCCAAAGACTATGTTTGGGGCATACGATCTCAGAAACAGAAGTGACATTACAAATCCCCTCTCAGGATTCATATCCTAAAGCTCACTAAACCATACTTCAGTATTTTTAGTTTCTTTTGTAGCCCTACATATTTATTCTATGCATTTTAAGAAATTATTATGACAAGAAGTCATAAAGCTTTCAGACTGCCAGAGGCACCCATGGCCCCAGAATTTTTAGGAACTCCAAATTCAACCCTTAGCTGATGCAATTGTACATTCCTTTGTTTATCTCTTAGTACATATCAGGCACTTGGGCCTTGGTGATCCAGCATTCAGAATAAATCATCATCAAGGGACAGAAAACACAGTAAATTAATCTTAACCCTCAGGCTTCAGTTTGTTCCTCTGAAAAACAAACAAATCATGGGCATTTAAAAAAGGTGCGATTGCTAGTTGTAATATTCTATGACTCTATTACCTGAGCCCACACGGAGATTTTTTTTTTAAAGGCTCAGTAAATTAATCAGAATGGCATTATAGAGCCTGAGAGCGCAGCTTGGTAGTACACATGTGGTGAGTAGGCACAGAGCAGAGTAGTTTCTACCATTCAGCTGAACTTGAAAATATTTAGAATCACTGTTTTATCCTCAGTTTGATGCTATTTGAGGCAATTCAGCAATTTATTGTGCAGTTAAAACACTTTTGCATTTGTTATCAAAAATCTTCTAAGGTGAGCAGGAGAGAATTTTGTGAACCCTAAAATAGCATTTCCTGAACCAAAGTCTTAATTTCCCTCACTCTTTGGGTTGGAGGGTTGTGCTTTTCTTAATTTCCACTTAGTCGTTTGGCAATGTAAAAACTGTGTATGTCTACAGATGCCCGTATTAACAGAAAATTGATAAGAATCATCATTTCCAATGCAAACAAGCCAGAAAATAAACTGGGATCTTTGGTGCACACCAGGGTGATTTTACATCTAACACAGATATAAATGTTTTATATGCTGTATCTTATTTTATTCAGTTGGGAATGGGATTCACCATCAGTAATAGCTACTTGCCCTGCTTTCATCTAGCTGTGCATTTCTCTGATACCTTAGCTGCTTCACTAAAGTCTTCTTTAAAAGAAGACAAAATTTCCAATAGGGGCAAAGAATATCTTTCCTTTTAGATATTCTTGAAAAGAGGGTTAAGATATCATTTCATATCAGAATATAAAACAGCAGAAGATGAGAAAGGGCATGATTGGGGTGAGTAGTTACAACCATTCTTAGAGATAAGATGCTTTATTTCCGGGAAAACATGTTTCACTGCCCACTTCATAAAGCATATGTGCCTCCTTCCATGCACAAAGCACCTTCGCGGAAGGTGGGGTGAAAATCAGCCTTCTGAATCATTTTGATCAACTTGGCATTCCAGCAGCTGTGAGCCTTGCTGTGGAGTGTTCCACGCACAGCACAGTGTTGGATGGGGTAACCTCAGGTTAGCCACCAGGGATAGTGTGGGCAACAGCTCCTGGGTCAACAGACACCAGCGACTGAACAGCTGTCAGGTCAATGGTGAGACAAGTTTCTTTTACATAGTTTTAACTAATTTGTGTTTGGGCACAAATTTTAACTTATTTTTAGCCACACCAGCATCTTCTCAGAATATTGCTTTCACACAACAGATCTTTATTCAAGACCACCTATTACATTCCCTGCTCTCCTCCTTTCCCAACTCTCTCTTATTCTGGTTCAACACGTGAGTTTCTTTAACCATTCTCCATGGGCACAAATCTCCCAGGTAAGGATGACAGCCACATGCTATGCCAGTGCAGGGGCCTGGCTTGGATTTAAGCATCTCATCCTCGTAATACCTTGACATGCTGAACTCGTTTTCCCAATAGCCCCAATGCAGAAACTTCTTAGTTACGTAGTTGGTCCAGCCTCAGACTCACCAGACTATGAATAAAACAACAAGAACAAAACCCTACATATGTATGTGCACATACACACGTGCACACATGTTATCTGGTGTTCTCTGTGTGGATGGTCCCACAGATTCCTGACTTACTTCAGAGTCCTTTCACTACCTTACCATTTGCCCCTTCTTGTTTCTGAATCTTCCCACCAAGTCCACCATAAAAGCCCTTCAACCCACCACCCAGGTACTCTATGGACACAGCACTAATTGATTTGAGATGAAGCAGCAGCAYACTGAGACCCAGGGACTGCCTGCAGCACCCTTAACCTGCCTGATCACATGCCTGTGCATCTCCAGAGATGTGGTTTATGGTGTGGTTTGGACCTTAAACGCCCAGCAAAGGCTTGTGTATTGAAGGCTTGGTCCCCAGCTGATGGCACTATTGGGAGGTGGTGGTGGAACATTGAGGAGGCAGGGCCCAGAGGGAGAAAACCACTGAATCCTGTTACTTGATTTTCAGAAGGACTTTGGGCTGGTAATGTGAAAGCTGCACTACCAAGATTTAAAAAAAAAAAAAAATCTCCCAGTACATTTATGGGATGTTGATGTTTAAAAAAAAACGACACAAAGTGTTATTACCTGAAGTCTTCCCACCCTATACCCTTCATTGCCTTGTGTTATCTTGTCACTGGGGGCTCATCCCCGAAAGGGACATTGGGACTCCAGCCCCCTTCTCTTTGCTTCCCAGCCACATGAAGCAAGCAGGCTGGCTCCAACATGATCCTTTCATGATATCTGCCTCACACAGGCCCCAAATTATGAAGCAACTGAGGACGAAAGTCTCTGACACCATGGACCACAGTACACCTTTCCTTTACTGAAGTGGCTTATGTCAGGTGTTTAGTCACAGTGGTGGGAAGCCGACACAGTTTGCAGCCCCCACTAAGTCTCTTGAGGGCAGACTTGGTGCATCACGGGTCCACAGTCTCTCTTGTTGTTTCTGCTATTGCTAGGTCCCCACATACATGAACAATTAAAGTGCTGACTTTATTACCAAATGAGAGGGACATTTTAACAACCTGGTTGGATACTCTTTTGCAGCTCTTTTTAAAAGTTAATGCTGGAAACTTAAATAATTAGCTAAACTGTAGTCTGGAAATTGTTTGTTCATTTTAACTACTACAAGGTTCATTTATTTCCAAAGTTAACAGGAGGTAAACCTCATATCTTAGACATTGACATTACTATTGCTATTATTTGAACAGTGCTTATTAATTCAAATTACATTCAAATTCATTATCTCACTGCCTCTTCTCAAGAACCTTGGCTCTACATTCTGTTATTACCAACAACTTCACTTTACAAGCGAGAAAGCTGGTATTCATGGAGTTACATGACTTGCTCAGGTAGTTAGCTGCAGAACTGACATTAGAAGCTCTAGCCTCTGTGAGGTTCTGAATTTTCCACTCCTTTGGTGAATAATACCCTGTCAAATAAATTCTGTTGTATAGTGAAAATATAAGTGGCACAACAACAAAAAATGTAGAATAACATCAAAGTTTAAAATGTAGAATTTGTATACTGAAAAGCCCGTGAATTATATCTACCGCATGAATTATATCCAAAGACAACTCCAAATCAACTGCACATCTCCTGAGCAAATGTGTCACCCTGCAGCACACACATGCACGTAGCAAGGGCTTGATAGAAGCTTATTTTACAAACTGCACATTTGCACTGTTCCAGGAATTGGCATGGTGACTGTTTCCATCCATATCAGCTAGAGCAAACAAGTGGAAAAATGTTCAGGCCTCCACCAGCTATGAACCAGCAGATGCTACTTTTAATTTAATAGTCCCTGCCAGTGACTGCACACTGTCAATAACTTACCACACAGAGGAATGGGCTTGTTCATTACCAATTTCCCCAGATAATTGGCAGTATAAACCCTAAAGTGACCATTTCATGTGCTGTCCTTTACCACAGCACCAAGCCCCCAGTCCTACTGTCCACACTTACCAAGTACCGCTCAGAGGACACACTAACTAGGATGAGGTCATCTCCAACCCGTACTTTTTCTCCTTCTGATCGCTGCTTCGAGGCTGGATGTATAGTCCACCAACAGGCCTCACCTGCAGAGTGAAAGGAGAGTGAAACACAGARAAGGGTCTTTTAACTTAAAATCTGTTTTCTTTGCCAGTGATTCCATTAGCATGACTTTCAGAAATGTAAAATTTCATGCAAATTTCTCTCTTAGACCATGAAAATCTAACAAACTTAGCCAAATTAGCTTAGGATAAGACATACTAAAATGCAAAGTTTCTTCCAATAGAAACTTGATGTGACATTTTGGGAAGATTTTAGTCTACCCCTTCCCCCACTAAGAACTATTTAAGGATATTTATATAAGTTCACATAAGACCAAATTCAGCAGCCACCCAGTTCTGAATTCACTCTATGCAATCGCACACCATTATCCTGTTCACATAGCTCTTCTATAATAACACCTAGCTTGGTGTCATTTCAGTTTCAGAAGGACTTTATGATTTGACAGTTTCCATTATGGTGATTTTTTTTTATTTTTAAATCTCCCAGGACTTTGAGATGCTGATTCAAAAAGGGATGCCAAGTATTGTCACCTAAAATCTTACTGTTYCAACCCCATTTTTGCCTTTGTTATTTTAAAATGTAGTTTGTATTAATCTCATAGTAAAGTAAAAGAGAATCCTGGTACATAAGAATACATTGCAAAAAGACTTGGCTACACATCAAATCAAATCATATCTTCTAAAAAAGTCCAGCATAACCATGGACCACATGTCCATTTATCATTCTTCAGCCCCTCTGCTGAGGTAGGGATGTAGGCACACCATCCTTCAGTCTGTCGAGACCTGAAGATAGGTTCTCTCCAAAGTGGCAACAGAGTTCTAATGATATCTATTAGCTAGTAATTATGCTTCTCTCCCCTTCCACAGCTTTATTATTTTTCTATAAACATATTTCCTCTTCCTAACTTACTGATGCCAGAATGCAAGGTCCCTAACAGCAGGAATTCCACATTTTTCCCCCCACTGGGGTCTTCCCAGCTCCAAGTAGCATACACTATAGGCACTCAGTAAAAGTTAATTTTGCATGAAGTAATAAACGAGTAATCCAATAATATTTCTTAAGCATCCTATAGTCAATATGTAGCCTGGGCCTTGTACTGCTTTTCTTACACAAACCAGTCTTATTTGCAGGTCACCACCCAGCAGAATGCCTTATCTTCATTCACCAAATCCACTTTTTTAGAACTGTAGATAGTTTTTCACTCACTCTCACAAGCATTTATAGGGTACCCACTGTTTGCCAATTACTGCTTCACAGTAGCCTGGGAAACATTTAGTAAACAAGAAAAAAAAATCACCTGCCTTGTAGGTTTAACTATGATGAAGGAAAGCAGAAAACTAATGATGAATACAATAAATAATTCAGCAATTCAGAAGAAGTAGAGCCATGGGTAGGGGAGAATATTATAAGGGATCAAACTTAGGCAGAGGGACTGACTTTTTCTGTCATCCTCTTATCTCAGTGTAGGAACACAAGTTCTGGAACCCATCTTGAACGTCTTCTAAAGAGCAAAGTTGACTTTCTTTTTCATTTAACAGTGTGTTAAAATACACTAAATGAGAAAACTAAAACCCTAGCAAAAATGTGGAATTACTGAGCCTACAGAAAATGAAAAATCAGAATGCCTGGGATTCTCAGACTTTCTTAATTAGTTTATATATATAGTTTTTATATGTTTGTTGTTTATTAAACTAGAGAATGCGAGAAAGTATTTTAAATTTATAGCTGATACGTAAAAGGTAAAAACTGAACATGTTAATAAAGTATCATGTGATGTTTTGATACATGCAAACAAGGTACAATGTTCAAATCAGATACTTACCTTCTCAAACATTTCTCRTTTGTTTATGATAAAAACACATGGGCTCTTTCCTTCTAGCTTGTTGAAATATATAGTAAGTAACTGTTATGAATACTCACCCTACTGTGGCACAGCATTCCAGAAAATGTTTGCTGTTGCTCTGCTTTGTTTATTCCTGCAGTGCAGGGACTGGACCCGGGACCTTTTGCACGCTGGGCAAGTGCTCTATCATGGAGCTACACCCACAGCTCACCAGAAAGATTTCTGGAAGGGGTGTGGGGATGGGCTGATCCCTCCCCTGAAAGGAACAAAGTTGAACTACCTCCTTCTGTTCTTTTTCAACTTGGTATCATTTATTTTTAACTCCCAAAGTCATGCATACTCTTTGTGAAAGATAAAAGAGTCAAACTGTACAGAGGCTTATAAAATAAGTGTAAAGTCCTCAGAGAACTGAGAACAGTTCTCTTTTTTTGACTTTCCAAAAGGATAAATGTGTTAATATATACTTTTGTTTCAAAATATGGAAATGTACATGTCCCTAGACGGACATGCAGCACAATGCCCTGTGGGCAGAGCAATGAAGGAGATTTTTATTTTCTTCTTGTTTGAGTGTTGAGATTCAATAGCTTACATGTGTATACCTAAAATGTTTGAGCTGAGAGACATGCGGTGATACTTCATAAACTAAACAGTGCATTTTAGGACAGTTCACGCCCAGTAAATTGGATAGTAAATACTAGTTTTTCTCTCCAAACTCACAGAATAGGGTTTGAAAGCCAGTTTGAATATCCAACTAATTACATGGGAATTACCAATAGGAAAAATATATACTTCCTCCCTCTACCAAAAACGTCAAGTAGGAAAGTACTTTTTCCTGACTCTACCCACGAAAGCACTGGTCTGATGCGACTTCCAGGGTGTCTCGTAGCATCTTCCAACCCAGCCCAGCTCTCACCGTCCCCGAGGCCCTCACCTGTGGTGTCCTCCTGCAGGCCAACGTCAAAAGCCAGCTTATCAGTTGAAGACCTCGAGGTGGAGAGGCAGCACAGATACTGAAACACAGAACCAGGAGTTGTCTGTCACTCAACATTGACAGTCACAGTGGAGTCCTGTTCTGACAAGTGATTTGATACGTGTCTGTCTCTGCTGATGAGCCTTTTTCTAAAAATGTGGATGCTTCTGCACAAAGCGCAGGCTTTTAAATGTCTGAGACAGAACAGCCCTAGCATAGCATTCATTAGGAGCAATATTCTAAAGGAAATGTGGTCTTCTTTCCCTCATAAAGACTAAGGAAATGTGCTCTCTCAGAACAAGAAGACAAGTGGCTGGGGATGTGTTTGTACATCTCTCACTTCATGTGATATTCATGATCCCCAGCAAGAGCACGACGTGATCTGACAGCGAGAACCCTCTCCCCAGCAGAAACTGGAAAACTACTTTTATCTTCTAGTTCTGTTTTCTCCTCCATTTTTTTTTTTAACTCTCCGAAATCCATCCAGAATTGACTTTGGCATGCATCATGTAGGCTTTACTAAAATGAAGTCTGATCGTGCATGTAAGTGTGTGTGTTTCCTTAGGAATAATGGGACACTCTCCATACTATCATCGGCCCCCACCCTTAGGTTTTCCTAACTATATGTTCTTAGACATAAAAGTTTAGGATCATTTTTCAGGCTAACTCCCCTATCCCCACACTCCAACTTCAAACACCTTGTTAAGTGCTATAAGAATGCGGACACAAAGATGAATGTGGCATGAGCTTAAAGTACACCACCATCTGCACGAAGCAGGCTCACTGCCAACAACAACAGAAGCCTGCAAAGAGTATCCAGACACAATTCTGGGGATTGAGAAAGCCCAGGCCACTCTCCAGAAACTCTGGACAATTAATGCAAAGGCTATAAAATTCCTATTAGGGAACAGGGCCCATCCAGCTAAATGGCGCCCAKTGAGTGTATACAGGCAGGAGATGAACTGATTGGGAGAAGTCAGCACCATAGGGATGGGGCATCAACTTGACCTGGAGACTATGACTTGGCCTCTCAACTATGAAGCACTGGCTCTCGTGGTTACAGAAGAAGTTTCAAGGGTCCCCAAAACCTGTACTGGGTCAATACAGGATTGAAAGTCTAACCTGGAGACAGGCAGCTCACAGTGGTCCCTAAAGTTCACAGACTCAGATATAAACTGTGTGAAATGTCTGTTTTTATTATAGAAAAAGTAACAACTTTACAATACACAGACTTCCCAGACAAACAAGGCGATGCCTATGAAAGTTTTCTGTGATTTTCCTCAGCAATATCACAGTCCTCAGCACTGTGTTCCAAGCTTCACAGGAACACTGAGGAAGATGCTATAATTAACCTACTAACTTCATGAAGTTCCATGGAGGCATGGAGAGTAGTGCCTAGCACAGAGATGATCAAGCAAATTTATTGAAGGAATGAAAGAAATTTTCAGATGCAATTAGAACTTTAAGAGGCCCAGAAAAGCATCCCAGGCTGTGAGATGGCCAAATGCAATTGACCCCAGATCTCAGCACTGACAAACTGAGTAAACTCAACTCCGATATGCTGTTAATTCTGAAATGCAAAGTCTTCTTAAAACATTTATTATTTCACAGTGTGCATTTTGATTGCTCCTGAAGGTGGAGTGCTTCCCACAACATTTGAACATGTGAGCACTCTCCACCAATGAGTCATTTCTGTATGGGTGCCTAGTCTCCAGCCTCACTGTCAAACTGTACCACTGTATTCTGTATCTCACATGTCAAGCGGGGACTTCAAGAATAGTGCCAGGCAGCAACGACTAACAGGATACATTCCTTCTTTTATTTGCTGGTTTTAGAAAATTTTATCAAGAATGGCTTCAGAGTTTCAYTGATTTGATAATGATATTTGTTATCATTGAGGAAATAATTGTCAATGCTGACTTTTCGTTAGGAACGAATAAAAGGTTTTATTACCTTTATCAGCACTTGTTGAGATTTTATTTGACCTTTCATGTGATGTAACACATTAATTAAATGATATTAGTAAATCATCATTAATATCACACTTATACTTTTCCTACACCTCTYTCTCTAGACATTTAAAATCAGGTTACTGCATCGACATCCATGACTGAAATCAACAGTGTGTGTGCTTGCTGAATCTTCACTTTTGAGGCAATATTTACTCTCCTGCAGAAGAAAAATTCACAAAATATGGAATTATCTCCTTTTTTAAGGGAATGATTTATTTTATATGTCCAGATATTGGACTATTGTATAACCACTAAAATTATACTGATGAAAAACTTAAATAACACGGAAATGTTCTTTTTATGATAACAGATAAAAAGTCGAAATATAAATTTATAGAGTAAAACATCAATTAGGTAAAAAATATTTTAAAAACTGAAAAAATTGAAATGTCTTTAAAATCACCAACAGTTTTCTCTTGGTATAATCAAAAGAATTTTTTTGCAACTTAAAAATATTATAGAATATTTGGGCTGGGGATGTGGCTCAAGCAGTAGCGTGCTCGCCTGGCGTGCGTGCAGCCCGGGTTCGATCCTCAGCACCACATACAAAACAAAGGTGTTGTGTCTGGCGAAAACTAAAAATAAATAAATAAATAAATATTAAAATTCTTTCTCTCTCTCTCCCTCCCTCTCTCTTTAAAAAAAATATTATAGAATAAATATGTATTGCTTTCATAATTTAATAAAGCTTTATAATGAATGAGATGAAGCTTTCATAAATTGTACATGTCTACATAAATCATTTATAAAGTACACAAAAACAAATATATATACACACATATATGGATATAAATGTGTGTGTACATGTGTGTGTGTATGTATGTGTACATGGCACATGCCTATAGTCCCAGCAACTGGGGAGGCTGAGGCAGAAGGATTGCAAGTTTGAGGGAAGCCTGGGCAACACAGCAAGAACCTGTCTCAAAAAGTACTGGGATGTATTTCAGTAGTAAAAGCCCCTGAAGTCAATACCCASAGCCAATATACATGTGTGTGCGTGCACACATGTGTGTGCATGCGTGCATGTGTTACTTCAACGCAGAGGAAATAGAAAGTGAGAATTCTGTGCCTCACAGGTGTCTAATGGAAAGCTGGTTTAAAGAAGGAGCTGATGTGGAAAAAGAACACGGAGTCAAGAAGGAAAAGTAGTTTGTGGATAGACCCTGACATAGGAGTTCACAGATGGCATTTTTRTCTTATCTTCTAAATGCGTATTTTAATCCTTTCATAAAGAAATGTCTTAAAACAAAATCAGAAAAGGGACATATTTCTTATTTGGTTCTTAGCGTGCTCTCCTCCTAAAACTATCAAAAGTGAGATATTAGAGATAGGAGTCCTATAAAGATAGAACAGAGGGAGCTTGAAGGCCATCTAAGCTAACCTTCATGTTACCAATGAGAAAAGCAAAATGGTACAAAGATACTAAAGAGGGTACACATCCAAGCTCACTAATACCATGGCTGAAGGGCGTTACCAACGTTTCCTGGCTCTGCATCCCAGCTGCACAGACAGGACCATGTGAAGGTGAAATCAAGCAGTCCACTCACCATGCCGCTGTAGGAATGGCGCAGCAGGATGGCATGCCCATAGAGGAGTGTCCTGTGGCCACCACCTTGAGCAGTCTGCATGGGAGAAGGAAGGGAGAGAAGAGAAACACACCGATCAGCAGACATAACTAATACAAAGCTCTTGCTCTTCTGATACCAAGAGAAAGACAGTAGGAAAGATCAAAGTAAAAATGCAAAGTGCTGTGGAAATATTTCTTAAACCTCTTAAACCGTAGAGGAAGCCTCTACAGCAGGCGGCACTTGCTCTGGCTCTTGAAGGGTCAACATGAGTCCAGTACCAAACCCTGCTCGTTCACAGAACGCTGATCTCCATTTCTCATGAAGCTGTGGTCCCTAATGGGCAGTGCCTTGCTTAGTGTCCAACACACCATGAGAACCTAGTGTAGTTCAAGCACGAATCTTCCCAAGACTCAGGGCTCCTCTCGTCACCCCAGCCTCAACACTTCTCATCCCTACAATCGCTCATAGGAAGAAGTCCAACTCTTACCTATGAAATAAAAAAGCACTTCTCAAATCTCAGCCTCTTGGAGGGCTCAGGGAACTCAGGCCCCTGGGCCTTACCCTGACATTCTGATTCAGGGGGCCTGGAGCCACCACAGATACATTTCAAGCCTATCAATGGTGTTGATGCTGTTGGTCCAGGACAAGCAGAGAACCCTTAGCATCACTCCTTTAGGTCTCAGCCCCAATCACCCTGTGCTTGAACACACCCGAATCCCCTCCCCTCCATGCTACTCTGTTCTGGGACAGAGCCTTCCCTCTTCCCAGCCTCTTCTGAGCTATGCATTTAGACTTGAGTTAGAGGCTACCTACTACATAAAACCTTAACCTCTTTCTGCAAAGTGAGCCCCTCCCTTTGTCCTCCTGCAGGTTGAGCCTCATCGGTCTGCTCTGCAAGTACCTTCCTCCCCTTGACCAGAGTGAACTCCTCAAGGAAAATGACCTCGTTTCACCCACAGTTGCCAGCAAAATATAAGGCTGCAGTAAGCGCTCAACAAACACCTGTTGAATAAAAACTGGATGCAAGAAGCCCCATTTCAGGCTCCATGAGGAGTGGGCAGAAGGGCACCCTGGCTCAAAAAATGATTATAATGGTCTGGAGGAGCATGAATCTTCCCCCAAATGAGGAGGGATCATGGGTTTGCAGTGGGAAACTAAAAGAAATTTGAAAGGAGATCAGGGTGAGATCACAGAAGGTATAGACTTGCATGTCAAGAAGTACATATTCCTTTCTGTGGGAGTCTGTAAGGACTTGAAGGACAAGAGTAATGATACTGAAAAGTAGTATAGGAGAAAGGACTCCAATACTCCATTCTTTTATTCCTTATTTTCAAAAAATATATCCCCTCCCTTTTGTTCCAAATAATCCCTTAAAAATCATTTTATTCATGTTATGCCTGAAAAACCCAAAACCATTCTCAAAACAGACGTTAGCAGATATTTAGTAGTCAAAAGGAGAAATCTACTTTGAAAATTATACTCCTTTACAGAATGAGGCTGTCTTGAGAGTGTACTTATTTTTTTCTGTAATCCATTTGACTGTGGCCGGGAGCAAATTTTTTCACACTAATATTATATATAGTCTACTACTAGTTTCTCCAGTAAGTAGTATTACACAAAAGAAATGCTCTTTCCTGCTCATTCAAAAAAAAAATTTACAGGGTGTGTACTCTAGGAGAGGTTCAGGTTCTGGTGTCAAAAAGCTATTTCATAACAAGCCCCCAGTCTCCTTTCCTTTGCCTTGCAAATCAAAGTTTTCTTAGAAAACTCAAATTACTCATTTATCAATTATTATTTACACAATCCCCTGCAATCGCCTTCAAAATACTTGCACACTAGCAGCAAGAAGAAAGAAGCAAAAGAGCCCGGACTGTATCGTGTGTGTATGTCTTAGCTCCCCCACTGTAAGGCAGGTTAAGCCCTCTTAGCGCAAGTATTATCTGGAATTACATGTCTTTAGAGCACTTTTTCAAAACTGTCAGAGGCCCTCTCTGTTCCCCAAGACGCTACTGGGTGCTTACAGCACCTGGATTCCCCCCTGCATCAGTAATAGCTAGTGAGCTACCACCAGCCTTCTCCCTGACCCTCCAGAAAGCCAGGAGCCTGCTGTCAGCTCTGGGGGAATCTGTCTCTTGGACCTGATGAGGCTCCTCTAAGAGACTGTTGTTCTCTTGGTGAAGGGAATGCTACTACCATTTCCAAACACCTCCCAGTAACTCGAGTATTTCTGGCATAGGAGAGGCAAGCATCATTTCAAAAAGTAGTAAATAAAATTTGACTTTTTAAAAACATCAGTTTTCAGCAAAAATTGGCTTTTCTGGCTTATGTGTATTTTTGGTCTCATGCCCCCCGAGATGATCAATGGTGTTAATATAAAAGTGTATAGCAAACTCTTGAAACATAGGTAAATAAAAAAGTACAAACCTTCAAACAAAGTCTAAGCAACATTGCTGTATGTATCCTAAACAAATCTTGCCTCAAATCCTTCACAAGTTATTTTAATACCCACTGTGTGTTTTCTGACATTCCTATACTTTGATTCACAGATTCTTGTCCAAAATGTCCAATCAGGTAATGGAATGTGATGATCCTTATTATCCAAAGTATAGGTATGAAGACATGAATTGGTGTGAATATACTGTGTATACAACCAGAGATTTGAAAAATTGTGCTCTATATGTGTAATAAGAATTGTGATGCATTCCACTGTCATATATAAACACTAAAAAATAAAAATGAATAAATTATACATTCATTTTCTATTCTTGTAAAAGGTTAAAAAATTTAGCATGGATATTTAACTTTGAATTAACTAATTATGTGTAAAATGGATTAATTATCACCTGCCTTTTGTAAAATACATGAATCTTACATTGGAAAAGAAAAACGTCCAATCAGGGAACCATCATTGTAAGTAAAAGCTTTGATGTAAATACTCCTACATGGACATTTATTTAGAGTAACAATCAATCATGGACCATAATTTACTTGTCTATTGTTATTCTTTGTTGAGAGGGAGACAATTTGGGTTGTTGTAGCAACATTTGAGGTATTGCACCAGGGCAGAACCATAAAACAGAATAATAATGATGGAGATGCACCAAAGAGATTTATACACACATGAAAATCACTGGCTCAGTGTTTTATTCTTTCATAATTGGGGAACTTGGCTCAGTATTGTTTAAATGTTTGTGATATATACCAGCTTATAAACCTCTTGAATTATTTTTTATTAAAGCCATGTATTTCATTAACAATATAACATGTCATCATTTTAAGGTTTTCTGTTTTTGTGACCATATTGCTTGTACAAAAATGCTATGCTAATCAATGAAGGACATTTGTCAAAATTCCAGGTCCTTACTATATAAATTTTTAAAAAATAAGTCAGAGTCTACAGGAGAACTTTCCCATGGCCTTGACATCTATGATGTCACATGCCGTTTTAGAAGTTCAACACTAGAATCTAAAAAGGAGTTTACTTACTTCAAGCAATAAGGAGACATATCCTCAATATTAGAAATTATAGACAATAAAAGAAATGTATAGTAATAGGAGCCCTTTCAGAGTGCTTAGATCCCAAATGAAGGTGCTTTTAAGTGCACCTTTAAATACAAATAGTAATGCTTGGAAAATAGAAAAGTTAGTAATTCTAGGGAGAATAACAGAAATATCTCTCAGAGGAGGGTGGGTCCCCAGCTGAAGGAGACTCTCAAACAATTCTGCCACCCTTAAGCAGTCAATCAATTGTAACAATTAATGAGAAATGGGGCTTCACGACAAAACCGAACTACCCRATGAAGCTAGGGGACCACCAGCAGGATGGCCATGTGGCACTGAAGAGCTTGTCTTGCGCTGGTGTCTTTCACTTGGGTCTCCAAGGGAGGAGACCAAGCTTAGGGCAGGACCGACACCTCTCTGCTCAGCACCAACAATCAGGAAGGGGATCTGACAAGAAAGCATCCAGCTGGTTCTGAGCAGCTCAACCACACCTTCCAGGTGTGGGTCTCAAAGCGCACATGGTGTGAGCAGAAGAGCACTTGGTGCCCTCTCCTGCCAAGTGGCTCCAATCACTCCAGTTGCATGCAGATGCCTCTCCTGGTCAATTCCTGACCTTTCCAGGTCATCCAAGTCAGGTACGAAAACAAGCCATTCACTCTTAGGCCCAGAGTTAACAGCCGTCAAAGCCTCAATGAATTACTTTAGGAATAATGCCCGTTTTCAGCGTAGTCTACCTCATCTTTCTAGTCTCACCAAAGATAACTGTTCCAAGACAACCATTCCTTCACCTGTGGCCAACAGGAGGCCAAGAGGGTACTGGAGCGGGTGTAGGGTAGGGGTGAGATAATAAAATAGACACAGTAGATGCAGATTAGCAAGCAAAATAGTTTTTTTTCAGACCCAATTTCATGATTAATATTTAAAGGAAGAGGATCTATCCACATTTGCTGCTGCTTATAATACTTTTTCCATTCAAATTCCTTGGTCTTGATGCACCTAGTTTAGCAGGTAACACCCCCTCCTTAATAATGTAATGATAATATTTTCCACTGAAAAATAAGAGCGGAGGTTATTGGAAGTCTAGAAGATGCTCCATGTCTTTGTTGATAGAAGGCTTCTGTCATTTCACCCCAACTGTCAAATTCCCTGTAGATGATCAGGTCCACTTGGGGTAGCCCACGATGCACCAGATCCAGATATCGGAGAAACCTGAACGACAGGCTTCTTTTTCTACAAAGCCGCCTTTCCAGCACATGTCCAGAGTTTTGATGACACTTCTCCTAGCTTATATCTTTCCTAAATGACGTTCTTTTGAGATTATAAATTAATCCTTTATTAACTCAATACAAATAAATGTCTTTACTGTTTCTAAGCTTTTAGTATAAAACTTAAGTCCCACAAATACTACAGGAGAAATGTGGTAGGCATATAAAAAGAAAACAAACTTCCAACCATACATCACCAAGTGACTAGATTCTGCTCTATCCTTCCCTGGCATCTTCCTTCAATGACAAGACCATGGAATTTAGTCTTTTCATTTTTCGCCTTCTAAAATCTTTTTTCTAGGGGCTGGGGCTGGGGCTGGGGTTCAGTGTCAGAGCACTTGCCTGGCATGTGTGAGGCACCACATACAAATAAATAGAAAATAAAGGTACATCAATAACTAAAAACTATTTTTATTTTATTAATTTTAATTGATAAATCAAAAGGGGCTGAAATAATCTTAGTTCTGGAGTAAGCAACAGCAATTTCTTGGTGCCTTGTCAATCCCAGGCTGAACCTTCTATAAGAACAGCTATTAAGAAGTTGATTTAATGGAAGAAATTCCCAATGTTGACTAATTAAATTTAACATGTTGTAGTATGATTCAAAAATGTCAAATGTTGAAGTTGCTAAATATGAACAAGTGATTTATTTTTTATATTTAAAAATTCCAAAGTTTAATTTTTAAAAATCTTACAAATGTAAAGAAAAATGTCATAAGTTAAAAAAATAAAGCAAATATGTACAACCATACTGAACACATACTGTTAGTATTACATATATAGCATATGAGCCAAATTCTTACCTTCATCATGAATTTCTGTAAGGACATAAGGAAAAGAGAAAAAAATAGTAAGTACGTATTATTTCAAATGCTTGTTTGAAAACATCTCATTTACCAAGACTCCATTTTTCTAAATGAAGCCATGTGAACAATAAAAATAAATAAATTTCATTGTTTTGCAACAAAACTTAGTATCAACTACATGCTAGAGGAAAGCTGCAGCAAGCAAAACTCTTAAAAGTGTTTTTACATTAGTTCTTCCATTTTCTGTGAAAACATGCCACTTGACTGAAATGCATTATTCAATTGACAAGATATCTAAGCACCAAGAAAGAGATATAATCTTAATTTACCCTCTGAAAATACTTAATAAATAAACCTTTTGTTTTATTCTTTGCATATAAATGCAGTGATATAAATAGCAACACAACTAACTTTGGTAAAAAACAGATTAGAAGCARGTAAGGTGTATTTAAACTACTGTGCTGCAATGAGCTGAGCACCCTTCATGCAAAACAGGCAGCAATTCCATCCACAGGACATGGGAGGGAACCTAAAAGAGGATCACAGAAATGTTCCTTTCTTTCCCTTAAAATGACACTCTCCTCTCATGCATTAGAAGAGTTCTTTTTTCTCTATAAAACATTAAGTGTATACATCCTCCTTCATTTTTCACTAGAGTCCCTCAAGTTTCCTGGACTTATTGCTGGAAAGATACAGAAATAAAAGAGGAGGGAAAATAATGCCACATTTCCAAACTAACTCTAGCCTTTGGAACATAATGGGAATCCCAGAGCAAAAGGACATACATCTCCACGTTAGTTTCAAAGAAATCAGCACAAGAAAGATTCCTAATATACATAATGATAGATATTACACTATTTCCCTGAAAATTACAGACAAGTAATACCTATGGAAATTCCTTCGAGACTGATGATTTTTATTATAAAGGACAACCGTAAAGAACCTTCTCACTCAGTTTTTAAAAGATAGCCTGTTCAATTACATATTTTGTAACTGATATTAATGATGAATGACATCAGGAAATTTATTTTCCATGTCAAAACTGACTAATCAAAAGCCTATGTGATTCTCTAATAATGGAAATATAATTAAATTCAGAATTGGGAAAAAGCATTTTTAAACCTTAATTCAAAGAAACACAAAATCCAACATACATGGTATATCACATATTTCTTCATGAGATTTTTTAATTGAGTGAGATTTGGGGTATTTTTCTTTAAAACATGCTCTCAGTCTGATTTTGACAGTTAAAATTAGAAAAAGAATGATCAGTAGAATAACTGAGGCCTGCTCCTCAAAATTTCTAAGTAGTGTTTGCAGAAAAAATAAAGGAGAAAATCTGCATATGCAGTAAGATGGAATGAATAATGCAAATTAGCAAAGCTAAAATATCCATCTGTACATATACATATAATTTCTAAAAGATAACCAAGAGCATGGAAGATTATTTGCAACAGTATTAACATTAACTTTTTGTGCAAATCTCTAATTGGTCAATTTGGCTTAAGTTCCAGATATCAAAGTTAGAGCATTATGAGATTTTCCAAAGAGATTGTTCAAGGGCAAAGAATAAAGCAAAGTCCATTAAAACAAGGAGGATGAATATATTATTTTAATCTCAATGTAAACACTGCCTAAAGATGATGAGAAGCATCAAACAAGAAAAGAATAACCATGAAACACTCTTTCAAAGTAAATGACATCATGAGGAGAGAAAAGAAACTCAGAATAATCAACAGTGAAGAAAGTAGACTCTTCAGGTGTAGAGAATATCACTTTCTGGTTTGCAATAAATTAATTCGACTCATTTCACTAGGGAAGAGCTAAAATCTCATTAGGTAAACTGGAGCAGGGGTGATGACAGCTTGAGTTCTGACCTGCTTTTTGCCTTAGAAGAAATTTTTGGATGATGATCAATTTGCAGAGAAACACAAAGTAGGGGCAGGGGGTGGGGGGTTCTTTAGGGTAAAAGTACAAGTAACAGTAACTCAGGGTCCAAGGCTGTTTAATTACTGCAGAACTGACAGGTCAAATGAAGCTCCAAATATGATCATGAGCCAGGGGCAAAACCACCCATGCAGCACCTTAACACGAAAACCAGGAGAAGAAACTACTAATGGTACATCTTAACACCAACAGAGAATTGGGAGTCAAGTCGATGGCAAAAAGCAGAACTGTCCTTGRTATATAAGCTCACTCAGTACAGATCTAAAAGACCCAAGGCATCTTCTTAGCAAATACAAAGAGTTAAGAGCAGAAAAGCAAGTTGAACAGCAATATTTGACCCTGAACTTTACTGACAAATATTAGACACTTATAAGATGAACAATTAGATTCAATCCCTTAACAGTGCAAAGAAATAAACAATATAGCAAAGGTCCTCTACCAAATGATACCTTTCAGTGTGACCTTGATCTTGTTTTTTAAGCCAGTATTTCAGTTTAATGAAATGAAACACAAAATACTTTTACATAAGGATCTATGTGAGAACTTTTAAATAAGCTTTAGCTAAAATAGCACCTCAAAAAGTATAGAGATGAGGAATTAGCAACAAAGTAACAAACAGTAGGGGTCACTAAAAGGAATTACCAAGTGCTGTAATCAGAGAATAGGTCAAAACATAGTGCAGGTCCTCTCTAATATGAACTTCCACCCAAAGGTGGCGTGTGGGGCTCTGCTCACCGAACGTCAAAGATAAGCCTTTCTGCTCTCCTAGTTCCAGGTAGGTAGGGTGCTAGGAGACGTTAGGAGCCTCATAGCCCTCCAACTGCCAACTCTTTTATGAGTGAGAAAGCAATCTGTTGCTTCACTATGTTGAGAGAATGAGAAGTTGTTGAAACACCAAATACTTGGGTTTATAGGTGGTGATGTTTAATTACGGATACTCCCAGTAATTGTAGGAGACAAAAGATCTAGCATGAACAATCCCAAGTTCTAAACATATATCAATATACACTAATAGATATGTAGTTATATATTTGTGAAACTATTACCCTTATGATGATGATATCCTATGTCAGTGTTTAACTTCCTATGGTTCCCCCACTGAAAATATCCAAGACTGGACTGATGAGACAGACTTAGTGACTGCACATTCACAAACTATCAGGACAGGACTTAGCTTTCAATATAGGGCCAGGGTTGGGGCTCAATAACAGAGCACTTGCCTCGCACGTAAGAGACACTGGGTTCCATCTTTAGCACCACATAAAAATAAATAAAATAAAGGTATTGTGTCCATCTACAACTAAAGAAAAAAAAWTTTTTTTAAGTAATACACAGGGCCAGGGTTGTGGCTCGGTGTCTAGTAGAGTGCTTGCCTATCAAGCATGAGGCACTGGGTTCGATCCCCAGCACCATATAAAAAAAATAAAGGCATTATGTCGATCTAAAACTAAATAAATAAATAAAAAGAAGTACTTATACATATAATTCCTATAGAAATGTTCTCATGCCACTCATGTTGATGGCTCCTATGAACATGGTCTTGTGTCACTGGCATCTGGTTGAACATGCACGTAGATATGTTTAAAAAGAACATTATATATCTTTGGCAGATTTGTGGCAAATGTTCTTTTTCAACCTTTCAATCACTCTACAGACAGCTTGTAAATGGACCATTTTTCCTTTGGGGTGTAATGGATTTCTCCTTCCTTCCCTCCCTCCCTCTCCCTCCCCCCTCTCCCTCCCCCGCTCTCCTCTCCCCCTCCCACCCTCCCCCTCTCACCCCACACACAATCTAGTCCTTCTTTAGAAGGATAAAGGAAAATAAATGATTCTGAAAGCTACTCTAAGTCCTGACATTCTATCTCTGTGACAAATGTTTATGTATCACAGAGCTCATAAACAAAGCTCTTCTTTACCAAGCTTGCCTCAAAAGAGAATTTCCCTAAGTTAAAAACAAAGTGAGCTCTGCAGAGGATAGTAGATAATAATGACCTCAAGATACCTGAAGCCTGCCCTATATGTATACAAATAAAAAGTCATCTGTATCAGCATTTAGAAGATTCTGTATTTTCTTCCAAACCACTTTAAACATGAATGCACTTCCATTTTTTGGTAACATGAAAGCATTTCAAAAACCCTCACATAATAATAGCTGTGTGTAAAAATGCATGTTTTAAAATAATTACTGTGTTGGGAACATTTGAATTGATTACATATCTTAACRATTACAACATCAAGATATTTCTCTTAAAAAATAAAAGTATAAGACATCATTTGGTTATAAACAAGGTTTTATATACAGCAATTTCCCAGGCTGTTTCATTCTTTTACTATCCCCAACCATGACCCGAAATCCTAGGCCTCTGTATTGCAAACCAGTGGCATCACTTAGGGAGGGGCTGGGGAGAACAGCCAGAAAGATCAGTTAATTACCTTCTAAGCAGGACTCAGATTCTCTTTTAAAGTATGAAAAGCAGTATTTCATCTCTCAGTGAGTTTTTGTTTAAGCACAGGTGCACAGATGCCCCAAAGAGACACTGAGGAAGAGGAAGAGGATGAGACTGAGGGAGGAAGGGAATGAGGGATGGAGAAAGAGGGAGAGAGAAGATGAGGGAGGGGCAGAGGCATAGAGATTTATTGGCCTTTGACAAAGCTATCCAGAATAGCACTATCCAGAATAGCACTATCAGAAAATTGATCAAGAAGTCATTTCAATTTCCATATATATTTAAGTTTATGAAGTTCCTAAAGGTCTTGATCTGCGGTTGTTCAACATAGTCCACACAAGTAAATTTAACACCTGTCCCAGAACAAAAAAATGGCAAATACTAGTGCAATGCTATAACACCCATCAAGGACACCAAGGGCAGTGGCTGGGGATCCACCCGCAGACCCTACCTCATCTGCTGCTCCTAGCTGACAACCTACCTCTGAGCTGTCAGCAGCTTGAGTGTCTTGAAGAGAGCTGCTGGTGGGCCAAGAATCCTCCTGCCCTCCCGAGATTTCCATCACCCCTTGCCCAGTGAAAGTGTCTTCAGGGGCAGGGCATGGAATAATTAGAGATAGAGAGAGGCTGGAGGCTCCCACTGCTGGCACAGGCTGCTGCTGGGGAGCCAATGCCAACAAGCCCTAATGTGGGAGGCCCTGGAGAGAGCCAACCTGGGATGTTCCTAGGATACCAAGAGCTCTTGGGAGGAAGAAGCGAGAAGACGAGCATTTGCCTGTAGCTCCAGAACTGCAGGCCAGGCATTCCAGTGACAAGTAGTTCCCCCGGACACCTGCGCAGTACCTGCGGAGGAAGACAGCTTTGAATACCTGGCTAGCCCCATATATGAATGACACTGTGGCCAGAAGAGTGCTTTCCTAGGAGCCAACCTCCTCATTGCTCCTTCCTACTGCATCTGAAGAGGGCAGAAGCCTGGCACAGAGTGGAGGCTTGTGGCACCTGGCAGGGGAGGTGAGAAGCCACTTCCCACAGGTCTTGCCTCCAGACCTCCTCACTGGAGCACCTGAGCTGTCCCAGTGGGCTTCACTTGCATGGGATGGAGCATTGTGATCACTCAAGTAAGACTTGTGTGCCCTGAGACCACTGTGGGGTGTTTCACTCTCTGAATATGAGAAAGGTTGTGGTACCTGCTTCAGCATAACCCAAGGGACAGACCAGATTGTTGCCCTTCCAGGTCAGGCTGCTATAGGACAATTTCAAGCTTCTACCTGGACAAAGCCTAAGGTTCGAACAGACCCTCAAAGGGAGCAGTAGCTCCCATCTGCAATTTATTAACACCTGTCTATAGAATGTGCATCAGTGTTCTGAGACAGACCTGGCAGAGCTTCTGGTTTTATGGTATGTAAATGAACAGACATTTCAGCATCACTGTGTTTTATCACCGATATGACGGTAATATTTAAGAATAAAAAAGGATTCTAATCACGTAGAGGAGGAGATTCTGGCCCACAAAGGTTGGCCTACATAAGGCTACAACACAGGGCACTGGCAAAGCTCAGCCTGGTGATGTCAGCTCAATGATATCTCCATCATCTTCTTAGAACTAGAAGGTCCTCCCTAATGAAAAACTTACAAATCAACTTAATAAAATTAAATTTTAAGATGAGAGATTATTACGGAAATAAGAGGGAAAAACAACAGTGAAACAGATCAATAACTGGTGCGGAGAGGAACAAACAGGAGTAACCTCGTGCAGTGATAGTCGTGTCACGATTTGCCTGTAGGTTCCATTTCCAGGAGAACATAAAGTGACTTGAGTGGTTCATCAAGAAACACTGCCCCAGATCCAGCACAGAAACACACAGTGGAAGGGACCAGATGGAGAGAGACAAAGGTGCTTTAGGATGCTGGGCTCAAGGTACGCACCATACACAGGTGGCACAGCTCATCTTAGGGGAAAGGGGCTTTCATTACCAAGACAACAATGAAGAACAGTGTGGATCAGAATCTTAACTCTAGACTCAGAGGAAAGTACAGAACTTCACAAAGAAAGAGCTGAGGAAAGCAGTAGTAGCTTAGTGCTGAAGGAACAGAACGATCCTTAGGAAGATAGCATAAAAGAGGCAGTTCTCAAAGATCAATCTGGTACCACTGCCACGGAAAAGGTAAATTTAAAAGCAAAAGTTCCTAACCATAAAGGGCTGAAAGATGGGACACAAAGAATTGCAGAAAGCAAGGTGGCCATGAAGTTGTTTAGGGATGACAAGGCCCTGGAGGGCCATTGAGAAGTAGGAAGACCCTGCAAACAAGAGAACTGGGTTCCTAGGACCAGAGGGCACAAAAAGCAAACACTCAGCCATCAGCTCAGCCAGCCTCCAAGGAGCCAGGTCTGACATCACAGAACAGACTCCGGCCAGTAGGAGCCTAGCTGCTTGGCACTCTTGGTGGGAAGTGGGGCGGGGACAAGAGCCCCATGAGACACTAACCTCTAGAACGTTGGGTGGGGGAGCCAGGAGAGACTGACTCACCCAGCTTCTCCTAGCAGAGGAGGACACTGACACTCAGGGCAGTAACGTCACTTGCTCACGTCACACACCTTGACCACAGGGCTCCGAGACGCAGCCTCCGAAGTCCCAGCTGCATTTTCCACAGGACACAGCTCTCACCTTCACTTGTTAATATTACAGAAATATACTGAGCTTCCTTTTTCTGTAGTACAGGGGACAATTTAAGAGCTAAGCCAGATTGAGATTAAGCAGCCAAGTCTTTGGCAAAAGACAGTGTTAATAACGAAACCTTTCGTGTTGGACAGAAAATACATAGACCCTCATGTAAGTAAAGCCAATCCTACACGCACTTTGTAGCTCTGTGGATGCACAGTGTGTTCACAGAACCCATCTCCCATGAAGCAAAACCTGAAGCAAGTCAGGGCCTGACAGCACCCCTGGGAAGGGTCTGCTCACCAGAGCAGGTAGTGCGAACAGACGGAACAAGCCACACTGGAAGCAAAATAAAAGGGTTAGAGGCAACAGCAGACATGCACTTTCCATCCCAGCTCCTTTGTAAATACAGGAAACACATACCCATTTTTCCACATCAACTTGCTGTGGAAAGAAAAAGCCAAAATAAATTTTTAAAAAACAAACAACAAACAAGTAAATACCTAGCAGTGTTGAACTACTGTCATTTAAATCAAATGAAATGTGGTCCCTGCACCAAAATCTACTTCCAAGTCTAAGAAACTGTATTCATACTTCTAATTAACATTTAATCTCATCAGAAAGAAAAAGCTCAATGTAGCCATCAGAATATCAGTAGGCATTAGGCAGCAACTACAATAGATACATGAAATAATGATTCTCTAATGTTCAAAAACAAAAATGAACATTTATCCACTTCTCAAACATTCCAGGCCTCCTGCTTCAGTAGCAACTAAAAAAAAAAGTTAACTAAAAAAAATCAATTTGGAGACAAAGCATCTAACTATAATTTCTCTTATGACATTTAAAGTAAAATTCCTCTTACCTCATTCTTTTGAGGATTACATAAAATTGCCCATTATAAGAAAAAGGCATGTTTTGTCAAATCACTCCAACATCATATGGGAATGAAATTATTTTTAAAGTTTTATTTAGTGATAAATGTTTTGGTCACGTAATTATGTGATTTTTCTGAAACATAAGTGACCACAATTACATCCAAAGTTTAAATAGAACAAAGACCGCTACAGCATCCCAGGATTCAGAGCAAATCAATTGGAATAGAAAATTCTGTCACTGAGGGACAGTCTCAGTCTTAAAGTTTCCATAATTTGCGGCTTCTGTAGAATGTGTGGTTCGTGTCCTGTGAGAATTGAGATTTATTTCAGATTTTTCATGCCTAAGTTAAATTGTAATTTTTTTCCTTAGAAAATTCATTAACAAGTAAGAGGCAAAAGCTACTGAGAGGGAAATCTTGGGCTAAAACTAGAAACTTCCATTCCTAGGAAGTGAATTCCTGGGAGGCCACATTCATTTACATTATAAAAAGATATTAAGGATATCAATCTAAATAAACAGGAAGATTTTTTTAAGCCATGGTGAAATGCAATAGGTTACATGCAAGATTATTTTGGCTTCTTTTGTAGTTTATTTAGTCTTCAGRAAAACCTGTTCTAAACTTACTCCTCTCCTCTGCATTTTAAAAACACACAGGTTTTACTGAAGAAGGAACACTACTGGAGGGAAAGGCCTGGTTTTCAGTGGGCAGTTTTCATTGTCATGGAAAGTTCCAGTTTTCACTCGAATATTAACCCATTCAAGTAATGAGTCCATTTCCCAAGCCCTGGGGGAAAAGGCAGTAGAGCAGCTTATCCAGTACAGTACAGGTGTCCTGTGCTTTTCCATCCTCAAAGGACAAGCGCTTACATTTATGTTCTTCCAAGGAAAACCGTTCAAGAAAGTTGTGAAATGATTTCCTTTCCATATTTTTCAGGAAAAGAGAATATGACATAGCTTTAGTGACAGTGATAATTATCAGAAAACAACTCATGCCATCACGTTCATTTCTACACATTCAACATGTCAACACAAAGACAGGCACTGTGGAATGAACAAAAAAACTTGTCACCAGGGTCATTATTAACTATCACCAGCAATGGAAGCATTTTAATGACGTATATTACAGAAGAGAAACATAACACTTTAGAAAGCAAGGATGAGTAGTAATGACATAACAGGTCCCAGAGAGATGCCTAGCAACAGCATGGGCTGGGGTGTATTATCAGCTAGACACACAGACGAGACAAACGTTCCAGGGTTCAGAGACTGACTGAAGGACAACAGAGGTGTAACTGCACATAAGCAAAGCAGAGCAATTTCATGACACATCCTCCTATTGCTGTTAACAAGGTTCATTTGATTAAATCCCTGCAAATGGTGAGGAGAAGAGCCATTTATATGGAACCAATCAAGGAAGAGAAATATTAAACTCACAATGAACTTGACTTCACAATGAACTTAATTTTAGAATTATTACCAAATCCACAAAACATAAAACAAATGAACATTTTCCCAGTAACTTATTATCTAACTATGTGGGGTTTTTAAGAAATACAGCAATTCCATTACTTAAGCAAATATAAATATTTTTATATCTGTAGGAAATTATATTAAATGACTTCTTATATTAACACTAATAAAAAAGGCAACTTCATTTTTAAAATAAAAACAATATTTCCCTTAAAGGAAACAATAGTAATTTAAATGTTAACTTGATTAAGCAGAGGACATGAGAATTCAATAGTAATTATTTATGGATTGTAGTTTATAGTTCTAAATTATATAATATAAAAGTTAATTCATAATCATTTATTTTGCATTCATATTTTAATTAAAAATTTAGAACACATAAACATGAATTATTCTATAACTTTAAAAAAGTTTTGTTGCTCCTTCCAAATAACTTTATTTTACTATTTAAGACAGTAATGATAATTTCATTATCATCAAATCTATATATCACATATTAAATACTTACAATAGTTATCCATGGGTAATATGTGCCAAGGCCCCCAGTATATGCCTAACACCCCAGAAAATACTAAATAATTACTGTTTTTCCCCTATATTCCCTGTAACATTGCTACATAATACTAGTGTTAATGTGTCCTTCTGTATTTTATGCCTTGTGCCTCTTTTGCATATTAGCTTTGCACTCTGGGGCCATTATTAAGTAAAGTGAGGGCTAGCTGAACAGAAGTATCATGAGAGTCCATCTAATAACGAAGGTGGCCTTTCAATAACTATCAGGAGCGGAGCATAGACAGTATGGACATGCTGGATAAAAGAACAATTCATTTCTTAGACGGAACAGAGCAGGATGGTATGAGATTTTACCATGATACTCACAGAATTTAAAACTTACAAATTGTTTATTTCTGGCATTTTTTTCACTTAATATTTGTGAATTGTAGTTGACCACAGACAACTAAAACCACAGAAAGTAAAACCACAGATGAGAGGATAACTATACCGTGTGCCAGTCTTTGAACTGCACAACTCATGATTTTGTTATCTACATTTCACATGTAAGGAAGCCAATGAAATRCAAAGGTGTTACAAATCTTCCATAACAGAAAGTCACGTGTTACTAAATGGTGGAGATGAACTTGCAGTTGAATATCTATCTAACTCAATGGTCACAAACTCAAGGTGTAACACTCTTTTCTCTTTTGTTTCATACTTTTAATCTGTGTTGAATTCAGAATTGCCAAACAGCTGATTTCTTATGATAGGTACCACCTAATAGAATGTGTTCACAAAAACATAACATCAAGAGAATAGCACAACACACTAGAGATTCTCACAACATCAGGTACATGAGCTCTAGTTGTTCCACTAACGATGCTGTTTTTATGTACATAAACATTTTAAGATAGTTATAAGAACAAGATATCAACTGTGAATTTACAGTTTTTGGTACTAACATATGATACAAGAAAAAAATATTTGATGAATGCCTATGATACATTCCCATTGTAATTTTTTTAAACAGAAAATCAAACAAACTTTATAAATAACTACACATCATACCTGTTATTTAATATTAAAAATGGGGGRAGAGGGGTAAGAATTGAAAATTCTGTGTTCCAGGGGACTCAAAATATAATGAAGTCATTTAGAAATTTTTAAATTCTGATTTGAAAGGGCTACATTTTCACTGAACATAATAGGCACACAAAGATATAAAAATTATGAGTGCATTGCTCGTTAAAATTTTACTAATAAGCCCATGCAATCAGCATCCAAATCTAAAAACAGAACAGAACTCATGATCCAGAAACCGCCATCACATTCTCCCCCAAGGTGACTGTGATTCTATCCCCCGCCAAGGTGACTGATTCCATCCCTCCCACCCCAACTTGTTTTGCATTTATTGATTTTTGGATAAAAGACTACACTCTTGTATTTAGCTTCCTTAAAAGATTGTTAAGTTTGTGAAATTATTAAAAGTTATTTCTTACTTGCAGAGTATCCCATTGTATGAATACATCCCAACTTATTTATCCATTTAAATGTTGATAAATATTCAGGTTGACTCTTGAGGGTATGACAGATCATTTTGTGAAGAACTCCACCATTTTGGTGAACACTTGGATACATTTCCACTGGGTATGCATGAAGAGTGGAATTACTGGGTTGTTTATAAATATTTGGCCACAGCACACACTGATGGTTTCCAGGAGGTCCTATGAACCCACACTCCCATCAGCAAAGCATGGCTTGCAGCTGCTCCAGGTCTTCCCCAACCAACACTTGGTATCACTGGTACCTTGAGCTTCTGCTGTCCTGGGTGTGCAAGAGTATCCCAACACAGCTCTGTCTGCGTGTGTCCAACACCCACTGGATAAAGCTCCTCTTCATCTCTCTTTATACCTCTGGGCATCCACCCTCAGGAAGTGTTTAAGTTTTACTGTTTTCTCTATCAGGCCATCTACCTTCCCTTATCTGGATTTGTTGGAGCACTTGTATTTTCAAGCATGGGTCCTCTGTCATATATATGCACTGCTAATGTCTGCTCCAGCACGGATATCACCTTCCCAGCCTCCCACCAGCAATTTTGGTAAACAGACCATCTTAAGTAGGATACAATTTATTAATCTTTTCCTTCATTACTGTGGCATTTTCTCAGGAAGTTTCTCCTACATCATCTTCTAGAAAGGTCATTGTTTTACCTTTCACCTGAGAGCTACAATTCACAGGATATTGATCTGTGTGTGTGTTGGTAGGAAGGTGCCAAGGGTAATCTCTCCATCCAGGGTAGCTGTCCAGCGGACCCCAAACCCATTCCAGAATGAGGATCTACTGCCCTGCAAGGTCAACTACTAATGTGTCAAGAAGTGAACTCAAGGGTCTCCTTCAGAACTCTTTTTTTATGGGGCCTATTTTTCTATCTCTGTGCTAACAAACTGTCTTAATTATTATAACATTAAAAGAAGTCTCAACATCTGGTAGACAAAGACTCCCAATTTGTTCAACATTATATTTGGAATATACCCTTCTTCATTTCCTGTAATGCCCACAATTTTCACACAAGAGAAAGATCCTGAAATTTACATGGAAAC